CTGTAAGCATCGCCAAAACGACTGAAGTCATCAATGCTTAACTGTAAGATTAAAATGATTGTGAATTTTTAAGAAACAACATGTAAATAAAACAAAGTTCATTTCTCTTCGAGTGTTTTTAGCCATGTACACCAACATCATCATCATCTTCTCAAGAGCCAAATACTTAAATTCTATCTCAGGCAATTAAATTTGGAAATACATGTGAGCAACATACAATTGGGCTGTCAAGTAAAAGAATACTCCAGTTTCGAATTCATAGCAAATAACCGCTGCTTTATTTGACAACAGATTCTCTTGCGCAAAGACCTTACAAACACAAAARAGAGCATGAGAAAATGTTGTTATTACAATAGACTTGAAAATTTGCATTTTCCCCGAGTTGAGATTATCCCTGTATTCCCATAAGACCTAAGGTATGAGCAGGGTTAGCCTCAACTCGGGGAAAATGTAGATTCTTAGCGCTATTGTATTAACAACATTTTCTCGTCAGTGCTTTCTTTTGTCTTTGGTAAGTTCTTTGCGTAATAGAATCTGCTGTCAAGTAAAACAGTGGTTATTCGCTTTGAATTAGAAAGTGGAGTATTATTTTCCAAAACTCTTCCTACTTAGGATATTGTGTAATTAAATATAATGTCCCTCATAAATTGTACTTACCCTATCTTGAAGAAAGAGAGCTACTGTCTGGGGTTTTGTGAGTATTTTCTTGAGAAATYTTTCTTGGAAGTCAGAAAGTGACAAAGTATGTCCTGCTATAATAGGCTGGTCAGGTGCAACCGCACTAAAAATAAATAAATAAATAAATGTTGATCAATACATGCTAAAAATGGTTTCATTAGATACAAAGTGTTTACAGCATAGTGATAAGCATGAGCCTCAACACAGAGATAACAAAACTATGAAAACCTATACATGTAGGTCTATTCATTGGTGTAAAAGCACAGCTATAAGGCCTAAACATGTTCATCTTTTTGTACTATAAATTCCCAAGCTTATTTCAAGTGAAAAATCAAGGCTTATTCTTGATGCTTTATGCTTATGGCATATTGTGTGGAGGTGTTTTGGGGAAGTGGTGCACTAAAATGACATTTTAAACATTTGGGACACTGCTGTCTTAGTCTGAAGAACTTCCTCCCCTCCCCCTCCTCAAAAAAAGGGACAAACAAACATTTTCCTGGCTGTTGTGTGTTACATCCATCACCAAGCTGATGGTGAGTGCTATAGAGCACAAATGCAAGGAAAAATGGGCAACAACAAATTGGACATTTTTTATAATATTKCAGTTCTGGGAATGATTATTCTAAACCCATGACATAAACACAAGCATATGAAGGTCATCCTAGTTTCTCTAACATATTCAACGCTGTTTTATATATAACTTACGTAAGAGTATGACAGTACTCTATTAACCACTTAACAAAATTTGGTTGTCTTTGGTGTCTACATCAGACATGATTCACTACAATTACACTTTACTTCATGGGTTTACGAAAATCATTTAGAGGTTGAATTGTTTTGAAATTAAAAAAAAAAATACTTAATCTATATTGAATCGGTATACAATTCCAGTCATTCGAATCACAAAACTGCTTCATGATTGTATTGCCAAACTGTTCTACTCGTTCTCGTAATACAAAAACTGTATTCARAGCTTCTGATAGAAAGATATAACAATTTTACCGAGCAATAACCATCAAAGAAATACATCCAGCGCTTTTAATACACCCAAAGACCAAAATTTCCCGTCAATGACAATACAACAGTGACCTTTCTTATAACGAATATCTTTTTGTTAAAGACAGGAGGAATTAAAAAGTTTTAAGCTGAATTACTCTATATAATACTTTACCTGTCTTTTGACCACATTAATACTGGTACAGGAGGGGAAGATTCTGTCAAATATGTTGAAATAAAGAAGGAGAAAAATCCCAACAACAGCCTTGTGGCCGCCATCTTGGATCGTAAGATGTTCACGTGACCAAGRCTCCATACATTGCTGGGGGGCACAGGAACCCCATATTTTACCTTTCACTTTCTAGTGCAGCGTGAAAAGTAATAACCTACAAGTGCTAGAGTACAAACGCTAAAACTGTGCAACATAAATACCACTAAAATACTGCTAAATTATGCTAATTGTTTTCTATTGTTTTCTATTATTTAATCAACACTATTTTGTAGTAATTAGTGGAAAGTGTTGCACACATTTAGAGCGATCGCACTGAATCTGTGCAACTGTACAAACTAAATAGTTCTATTTACAGCAATATGCAGAAATTCTGACCACTCTGACTCATATTTCAACTATATATAAAATATATCAGAAATTATGGGATATGGTCACTGATATTTTTTTGAGTTGCCTAGGATCAGTAGTATCTGAAAAAAATATCAGCGATGATATCCCATAATTTCTGATATAYTTTRTATATAGTTGGAATATGAGTCAAAGTGGTCAGAATTTCTGCATATTGCTGTAGTTGTATTTAGTAAATCGTGCATGCGGTACGCAAATTAAATTGAATTAATACAAATGAAACATTCAATACCGTCTTGCTTCGGGCACACTTTTAGTACAAATTAATACTACTTAGATTTTGTACAGTTGCACGCTTTAAGTGCGATCACTCTAATGTTTGTACTCTAATAGATTGATTGGAGAGGAGAAAAAAAGGAATTCACGGAATTCAGTACATTTTCGCACTTTTAAATGAATGATTCAAATCTCAGCCCTAACGTCTTCTTACTGTACTTCGCAGTCATTTTTAAACAAAGGTCAACCAGCTACATTTTGAAAGGTTCGAGAGCGTGCGAGACCACTCAAGTTTACTATTCATTTCACGGGAACATACTTTAGAGCAAACCTGGTTGCTTCTGCGCCAGATGACAAAATTCAAGCCGTTAATCTAATCAACTCTCTGGGCATGCGCAATCGCTGAATCTAACGAACAGCCACCAATCAGTCATAATTGCATTTATTTCACATACCTGTGACAAAAACAAGTTAGTCTGCGTAGAGGCTCTAAGGGAGGAGAGGAGGAAAAGGAAGAGCCGCCRCGCAGGCTAGAAAAAGCGATGTCGACAACTTAACGTCACCAGAACAAAAAAAAATCAAATTGATTCCAACATTTAACATTATATCAATTAAGGTTGAAAAGTAAATCATAAAATTACGGCCCATCACAACACATCATATTTAAGTCAATAAATTGCGACAACCTTACAATGTTGCTATGGCAACGACTTTTAGTGAACCTTAAACGAGTGCCACAGGAGCGAATCAAGAAATTGTTGTATGGAACGGGTTGCAAACTACATATATTGGCAGACTGACATAAACAAATATGAGATGGGATGGGACGCGCGCTACAGTCTACAGCCGTGCTCATGTGGATCACATGGAATCACATTACCGCACATTGTATATTCTACTGCAGTAGATGGCATTGTCAGTATCTATAAGACGCGTTGTGTATCGTCGTACAAAATTGCTCTAAGTAGAGTCCCTATAATCTATAATTAACCAGTGAAATTAGGAAACACCAGACTTTATGTTGGAACCCATGAATTAAATCTCTGTTTTAGGGTTAGGATTGCTATGGGGTCTTACATGAAGTACTAACCCTTGTGATGGTATATTCCGATTGTTTAGTTTCATATATTCTGACTGTACACTGCAGTGTGTTCATTGAGTGCTTCCAGGAAATAGAAGACAAAAGATTTTATGCTATTTTTGTTATCAAAACTAATTCACGGATACAATGAAAGCACAMCATGCYYTGAGMCAGCGATACTCCTGCACCAATGARTCACTAGTGCGGTATGTAAACGTGTTTCACTCTAGCATTTGGATCACAAAGTCTTTCCAAGTTCATCGCTTGAAATAACARCTCGGAAGCCTCTCTCCTCAAAACAGCTGCCTCTGCGGCTGCTTGCTGTTKAATTTCCCGCCTTTTCAACGGATCTGTCTCATTGGCGAAAGCATCAGCTAAGTCACGWGACGGCCTTTCTTCATTTTGATTMYCGAGTACCCCCCTATAGTAACGCAGYTTGTCGGATATGTTACTCGGAGCTCGCTCTAKCTCTCTAGTGTCAGATAAATCCCCCTGCCTSCCTCGACTATTTGCGTTCCTTATTGTTCCCGGGGGGCCCATGTAGTTGAAACGACGGTCTTGCTCCTGTTTTTTGTAATTCCTAGATTGTAATTCGGRTTTGCGCACTTTCGGCGAGGCCATTTCTTCGTAGTGATATCCCGMGTCACCTCGGTGGGCCTGRACTCCACCTAGAGCTGTTAGCTGTTCGTAATCTTGATCAGTTTCGTAATGCTTACTTTTAGCTTCAGTGYCTTTTCTAGACTTTCTAGCAGAGTGAGATGGATGTTCATTTGRTTTCTKAAAGTGGTCGACGAGCGGCTCATAAAGTTCTGGGGAATACCGCGAAGAACTCTCAAGYACSCGCCGTATTGCCCTGTCGTTTTCATCAAAGTCTTTAGTTTCTTCTMGAACTTTCTCTGTTTCTTTGTCACTGCTYAAAAATTCCTCCACAGTTAAAGGCTTTTTAGTGTTATTATTTTCATCTTTACTTTTGTTTTTATCAAGKTTGCTGTTATCGCTTTCCTTTGTTTTTMCCGGCATATCTCCAGTTGCGAAGCTTTCACCCCTAAGATGGTCATGCCACATGTCATCTGCTGCAAGACKCAAGTCCTCTCTTTTGCTYTCTCGTTGTTCCCTTTTAAAACTGTTTCTACGATTTGTATGCTCYTCACTAGTCAATTTTGTCTCTCGAAATTCTTTTCCAGCCGGAGAATCTTCCCAGTTGTTATCAACAATTCTTACCGCATATGTTGGATCTGAGTCTCTAGAATCATACTCCACGTCTTTCAAATTAAGTCTCTCTATTCCCTTCGTTTTGTCTTTAGAAGGAAGAGTTGGCAGACATCGCTCATTCGCGTCGTCAGCACCAGTTAAAGCTGGATATCTTGGACTTAAAGTGTTTTGAAGCCTTCTTGGACTCTCTCCAACTCTCGAACTCGTTTCAAGTGGCCGAGGACTTTCTAAACTATCAGARTCRAAGCTCCGSGACAACTGASTGTTYGTTAAATTTGAAGTTATAAATTGAAGCTGTTCAGTCAGTTTTGCTCTTTCGCTGAGGGCGAGTGTTAGTCTTCTTTTGTATTGCTGGAGCTGAGCTCTCTCTAAGGCAACAACAACATTGTCTTCTTGGTGATTATCCTTTTGATGTGAAGACGACTTTGACAATAAATCTTCCTGATCTTGCGATTTAGTAGCAGGCGCTTTCCTTAAATCCTGATTCTTTTCGAATTTTTCTTTTACCACGTTTTTAGCATCAGCTTCTTTTCCTGCATTTCCARTTCCGCTAATTTGCGCCTCATTTTCAACACTAATCGGTAAATGGCTCACACTCTGRAACTTTCTGTCTGCTTTCATGCTGTTCAACACCGCTTTTCTTCTCAAGTCCTCTTCACTAGCGCTTGTCAAGCGATGCTGCCTGTTTAACCCATGCTTTGGTYTGTGTTGAACGCCATATCTATYAGAGCCGTCGGGAGAACTGTGCCTACGACTGGTAGATGATGAAGYAGAGGAAGGTCTTTGCTGAAATGATGTTGCTCTTTTGTAGGGCGAAGAAGGCCGTTCATTGTGTTTATCGTCTGCTATAAATGCTGGATTTATTATTCCCTTATTGCCAGTCTTTTTCTCTGATCTCCTTTCATCATGAATTGCATTCTCTCGGCTATTGTAAATGGACTCAACACTTCCCTTCAGGAGGCCATGTTGAAGAAGATTTTCCGTGGAACCAGACATGTTAAAAAAATCACTGAAGGACACGAAAACAACAGCTTTCTTTTATAAAATAACGGTCCTTTTTTCACATGGTAGGTATTTCAAATGCCAGAATCCCAAAGTGTAGTATTRAATGGAGTTAAAAGCCAACGGCGTTTCTGGTCAACCAAGAATTATTGATGCGTCTTTGGAAACCAACAAGACCCTTCGGTATTAGCACAACAAGCAGGTACCTGTTGACCACTATATTCATCCGGCTCTAAAAAAAATGTTTTTTTTTACAACGGTAAATTGATATGGTCGATTTATGAAGAAATCYTCTTTATCTGTTGAAAAGTTTTGAATTGAAGAGTTATGTTGAAATATAGGTAATATTTGCACATTTGTTCTTGTTTAATTCAGCTGTCCTCTTCAAATGCATTTTCTTTTCAGTATTGAGAACCCTGATTTTTTTTCTGGCTTCGAACTTGAAGATCGTCTGGACTCATATTATTTGTATCTCTATAAAGGCTGATTTACACGGCACGATTGTCTCGTGCGACTTGTAGTATACGACTTGAATCGCGCAGTGTAAATGCCCCTACGACTTGTCTACAATAATCGTACGCAACCTACGACTTGTAGTAGGGTTTTGAACCACTGCTTAAAATTCCACGACTTGTAGTAGGAAAATCGTATACTACAAGTCGCGCGCGACAAATCGTACCGTGTAAATCAGCCTTAACTGTTTCCACATCACCGTTATGTCTCTAGCTAAGGCAATTTGCACCAGCAACGATTAGGATTACGTTTATGATTGATTATTGACAAATTATGATAACCAAAGACAACCCAAATTGTCCGTAGCCGTTAACAAACATCTCGCGCAGGAAAAAGTAAAGAACAAACAAAAGCGTTGAAAATAAAAAATTTAAACATTTGTGACGTGGTAGAACGACAGCACCCAACGCATTACAAGGAAAGTACGAGTGAAGAAACATTCCGGGATAATAATTCTCAAGAAAGACGAAAGGCAAAAGACGGTAAACGATCGAAAGTAATATAGCGCTACAACCGGCGCAACCAGTCGCACAAGTCGACTGTAGTCCTCATAAAGAGAATTCCACGAAAACATTATGACCAGCCAGTTAGTAAACAATCAGTTACTTATCCTTGCCTGTTTTATTGTCATTGTACAAATATCAGTGTATTCCAATATTAGGGAAGTTTGGAGGTAGTGGAACATTAAGTGTGGCAGTTACTGTTCCTRTAGATGGTGTTCCATCAGCTTTTCTTTTCTTCGAAGATCCACTTGTTGCAATATTACAACCAATAACTCTCAGATGATTGCTTACCCTGATAAAAGAAAATTTTGACAATTGTGAAAACTATTGTGTAGAATGATTCTGATATTTTTTTTGGAGTATGATGATGATTTGGAATGCAAAGCCTTTGAAGTCGGGAAGCCGATGGGGAGGGGTAGAGGCTGAGTGCATCTCTGGTTGAAAGTTTAAAGCCCTGAGCCCTCCACAGGTACTCCAAAAGGGCTCGGTATACATCAAATATTCACCAAATTACCTCTTCGGATTGATCTTAAGATCCTTTGCTATAACTGTACAGTCCACAATAAACTCATCGATAATCAAAGCAAGAACAAGAATATAGGAAAGCAGTTTGTCTTTTAACCTTTTGGGTACTAATCTGAAATTCAAAATGACACATCAAAAATGTTTACAAAAAATGCATGAYATATGAAACTAGAGCAAACGCAGGAAAACCATGAAAAAAAGTCAAACGAAATACTAGCAAATAGCGGCTATTTAGAGACAAATTGTCAGTATCAATGAACCAGTAGAATGCAATAAAGATGAATGAAAAATGGTCCCATCGTCCCAAATGGTCATCTTCATTGTGTTCTGATTCATTGATACTGACAAATTGTCTCTAAATAGCCACTATTTGTTAGTATTTAGTTTGATTTTACTTCATGGGTTTCCTGCGTTTACTCTATTATTACTGACATTTTCAAAATAATCTTCAAAATAATTTTCAAAATATCTCTAAAATGCAATGGAGCCAAGTCCTTCATCCATAGATTATGTAAATGAAAACAATAAAAGTTAGGTAAATGGAAAGCAGTTGACTATAGATAACTGTATCCTCACCTGTGATTCGCTTTTTTGGGATTTTCTAGTGTAAAAGTAGCCAGTAGTCTGTCTTTGACCACATCAGGGTAACCAGAAAGAGGATCTAAATGAGAGAGAAAAATAAAAATGTCAAAACGTAACATACAGATTTCCCTCTTGCTTTGCAGTGAGGAAAGAAACTGGCTTTCTGCACAAGTTCCCATTTTTCACTTCTATTTAGTAAAGACCGCAAATAATACTCCAGTTTCGAATTCTCCAATGCTCTGTGTTAGCCTCATTTGTGCGCAAAATATTCCTTCCTAAAGTGTGAGATTGTAAATCAATTCTATTGTCCTTCTTCACAAAATTCCATGCATTTTCTCGAGCTATCAATGAAACAAAAGAATATGTTACTTGGTTTTGAGGCTAACACAGAGAAAACAAGAACTCGAAATCGGAGTATTGACTTACCTTTTTTCTTGAACGCTGTGTGATTCATTTGAAACATGCTAATAAGATATGATAAATACTGTAGTAAACATGATCTGTGGCTTCTTTCAGACTCACTAAGTGGCATTACAGCAGCATGTTGGAGGACATATTCTGGAAATCTGAAACAACAAATATTAGTAAATGTCTTGTTGTCTTTCCAGTCTCTAATTCAAGATATACTTTTGAATGCCTGCATTACCCTGGATACTTTGCCAACATTTGCTTTTGATTTAAAAAGAAGTGCTTGCCTTTGATTTGTTAGATCATGGAACTACTGTACGTTGCTTGCGTTCTTTATTGATCTACTTCGCAGTATCGTTTACAATCATGTGGCTAATTGGTTGGCTTAGCCATACAAGCACTGGCAACAGGGGGCAAGAAAGGACCCCTAAGAGATTTTGGGAAATCTAATAAATGCATGGAGGAAAAAAAATCAAAATATAGGATTTTTCAAGTTTTACTATGTGTAACCCTCCCCCCAAAATAGAAATCTCAATGCACCGCCAAGTTTTTTTTATACACTTGAGTAATGTCAGTGGTGATTTACACTTGCAGGTTTTATGTTGTGCTTCCTTGAAAATCCAGAAATTCATAAAGGCCCTTTCAATCAACCATATTTAGTGCAACACAAAATATTGATGTTCCATGTAAAATATCCAGAGCGTTGCATTTAATATTGTTTAACTTACAGTAGATATTGTTCATTGCGACTTCTTTGTTTTGAAGTTTGTCTGGATTTTGTTCTTTCCTTCAATCTAAGGGGCAGAGCTTTTCATAAACTCGTTCGGTCATTGGCAGATTTGTATCAAGCTCCGCCCCAAAGCCGCAGAAATGCCTAAATCCCAACAATTTCCTTTGAACATTGAAGTCGCAATGCAACGGTTTCTGCTGTAATTGATATATGAAAATGCAACAGCTGAAAAATACAATGTTGATGTGTGTGTTGTTWATGCATACTTCTCTTGCTTTCTCCATTGTTCAATCAGCTCCTTGTTAGCGCCTTGCAGCTCTTTGGCTTTGAATTTTATTGCATTGTACTCAGATGGTAAAATAACTGTTACTGAATCAAGGAACAAGACATTTTTTTTCATTAAATAATACTTGTTTATCAAAGACTCATTCATCTCCATCCAGAGCCTTCTGTTGTGAGGGAGACTCAGAAGGATCTTGGTATTAATATATGAAATGTTAAAATTTAATTGATTTTGCTGAAAAATGAATTGACTTATAGTCCAACAAATGACCAAACTTTAGAATCGATAATGAATGGATGAACAATAAATAATTACATACAAAAAGGATACTGTCATCAATATTATAAACATCAGCTGSTGTTTGTGCTTTAATGTTGAAAGGTGGAATTGTTGAAGACTGATGATTTTCTTCTGCTACTGGAGACAAAGGAATTTTAAAGAATGACAATGAAACATAATAAAACAAAAGCAATATATATGTATAAATCTTGAGCAATAATCAAGAATATGTTCATCAAACCTTCTTCTAAAGCAGCACTCATGGTTGTTCCCTGGACAGCTTCAGTAACAGAACTGCTCAATTCCTCTTTGTTAATTACATTTTTCTTGCGAGACACAACCAGTCTTTTCTTTTTACTGCTGCCAAAGGCTTCAGTTAGGCGGTCAGACTGAAAACATAATCATATTTATTAACTGACTGTCAGGAGTTTTCTACCACATTGTAAATAATTTTATAAAACTTATTAATAATGCMTGAGCTATTACTCCAATAAGGGCTGTCCATTTAATCAGGTGATTGACCTTGTAAATCTGATACAACACYGTGATACAACACTAGTGTTGTATAAGATTTACAACACGGTCGTCACCTTGAGACAACACACAGACAACACTAGCAAAGGTCTCAGTTTTAGTATCGCATCATAGACCTTCACTARGTTTTGAAGCAATCAAAGACGAATAACAGAACTCGCTTATGCAACAGATGGCTTGCTTTCCATGTAGGATGGATAATTATTCAAAATGTTCTGTGTTGCAGTAAATTGTGCATGCTTAATAGCCGCTAAACTCAGCAGTTACCTTAATTATCATTTTTCGTCATTTATCTCACACTGTAATTCATGTTAATTTGTGTTGGAGTTTTATAAGTCGTTTACAACATTTGTGTCCGCTCATGTTGTAAACATTACTTACATTGGTAAAAACACAATGGTAATCTTAAGAGCCTAGTCAGACAATCTAATGCTTATTTATGATGATTTTTTTTACTTGGCTGTTGACAGAGCAGAGGAAAATTAATATGTTACAATGCAGTTTTGCTTACTTTTTCTATGAAGGATAATTCTTGACTTCCATCTTCATTGTCTCTGTCAGCAGCATTCTCTATTAAAAAGGTTTTTTTTTAACATGAGTCAATTACCAACTACTGAGCTTGGAGTGGATGCTATCTGGTCTGCCTTCTCAACCATA